AATACAAGTTCAAAACAAGTAATACTTGGGCAAGCCATTGCACGAGCTGGTCGCCAACCTCGGGCAAGGTAGCGCTGGCCTTTTTTCGGTCGTCCTCGAGGAGGGCACCCTCGAGACGCTCGGCCACTTCGTTCACGGAGGCCGATAGCAAGGAGGTAGGTTTTGGGGCTTGCTCAGGCCAAGAATGGCTAGCACGCCTCCGTTTCCAGACCATCTCGCCCTGGTCGGTGCGAGAGCGCTTCCCCAGGGCCAGCTCGCACCCCGCCTCATCTTGACTACTAGACTCGACCAGAGCCTTGGTCGAGCCAGCAGAATGGTTCTTCGAGGAAGAATGATCGACATGAGGTTTTTCGTGGGTCTTGGTTTTGGATGAGGCAGTGGGTTCAGAGGATTTGTCCGTGGTCTTGGAAGAAGTGGCATCTTTGGGATTGAGAGCTCGAGGGTCGGTCTTCTAGTGGCGGTTGTCAGTCTTTTGGCGGTCGTCAGTTTTTTGGTGGTGGCTATCGGTTTTATGTTGGCGGTCAGCGGCTTGGCGATCAGCGGTTTTTGGCGATCATCAGTTTTAGAAGAGGTAGTGGTTTTGGTGCTTGAAGAGGACATGGACTGGTGTTGTGGGTTCGTCTCAGGAGGGGGTGTTGGAGTTCGTCCTTGGGGCGGTTTTTGTTGATGTGGTTGTTGTTGTTGTAGTTGTTGCTGAGGTTGTTGTTGTTGTTCTTTCGAAGGTGGTGGTGGAGGCAATAGAGTCTCTCGTGGAGGCGATCGCTGCTATGGCTCTGGTCGAGATCCGGAAGAAGCAGCCGACCCCTCAGTTTTGTCTCCGGTCGAGCCTGAGGCAGCCCCTGTCTTCTTTTTAAGAGGAGTTTTACTCGGATGAATGTTGAAACTGGGCGCCTCTGCAAGAAAATAACAAGAAGATTAGAATCAACATTAACAGAGGTTAATAAAAAAACGAAAACAGAAGGACGCAGAAACAGTCGAGCAATCTAATCGAAGAATACCTTGATCATTCTCGATCCGGATAAGATTGAGGATCTCATCACTAGGCGGAGGACAAGTTTTGTGGGTGAGTAGGCCACAATGGTGGAGCAGGTTCTCGTCTTTGAGGAGTTCTTCCGAAGCAACAGACTTGGCATTCCAAGTGTGCACCCGTTGCTCGAAAAGAGGGTTTGGAGGAGGGGCAGAAACCTCTTGAGAAACCTCCTTGACCCAAGGGATGGAAGGCCAAGGGAAAGACACATTAGGTTTGACAAAAATAAACCTATCAATCCACTTGGGAAGATTGGAGGGGACGTCATTGATAAAATGAGAACCGTTGCGGCTCTTTAAGTAAAGGCCTCGACCTTGCTTAAAAGGGGCGTAGCAGTAGTGGAAGAAGGCGAGGTCGAATCGACCAAGGCGGACGTGGCATAGGATGATGAAGGTGGTCATGAAATGGATGGCGTTGGGAGGAAGTTGGTGTAGGGGAAGCCCGAACCACTCGCAGATCTGGAGTAGCTCAGGACTTAGAAGAAAACGAAGACCAAGCTTGAATTGAATTTTGAAGAAAGTGTAACAGCTTTCAGGGGGATGGTCGAAGGTACCAGAAGAAGAAGAGCTATAGAACGCCCAACCGAGAGGTTGGCCGATCTTTTCAGGTCTATACCAAGGGTGGGAAAGAGAAGTAGAAGATGGACGCTTCGAAGAGGCCTTAGAAAGTTTCTTGGTCAAAGATTTTTTGGGAAGAGAGTTTGGAGCATCAGGTTAGGAAGAAGAAGGAGGAATGGTCGAAGATACTGGGGGAACTGCTTGAGAGGAAGAGGGAGGAATGATCGGAGAAACAGGAAAAGTAGGTTGAGAAGAAGTGACCTCATCCTCCTCTGGCTCATCTAACGATCCAAAGGCAGGTCGACGATGGCGAAGGGGGATATTATCCATAGTATCCCCAGAGTTGGAAGAAGCAACACGAGCTGTGAAAATACGGGTAGGAACAGAATCGCCGGGGCGAAGAATTGAGAGAGGAACAGCCTCAAGTGCAGAAGGTAGTACTTGAACTGAGTCGGAGGAAGTGGTCGAAGAAGGAGATGGAGGTGCAGGATCTGAAAAAAGAAAAACAAAAACGAAATCAAAAAGAGAAAAAACTTTCGAAAAAGGCGAGACTTCAAAAAACTAGGGTTCTACGAAGGGGACGATTTCGGAAAATTAAAGTGGAAGAACAAAGATTCTGGGAGATTTTTTAAGAAGGAAGCAAAATCCACAACAATTAACAACCAAACAAGGACGCCCAACACACAAATTCAAAACACCCAGTCAGCAAAATCCAAGATACCCAATTCGAAAAATTCAAAACACGAATTCAAGGCGCAAGAAATGTAAATTCAAGTGAAGAGCAACTTACTCATGATGGCAGATGAAAGGATTGGAAAAGCTTAAGAATTGTAGGAGGAATTGCCGGGAAAGCTAGGGTTTTGCAGAAAGGATTTTCGAATTCAAAGGAAGACGAGAGTTGCAGAGGTGGAAAAAGTCTAAAAATCCGCTAAGTATGGAATTTATACCTTGGAAGGTTGAAAGGTTGAAAGATAAGAACCGTCGGATTAAAGCTAGATCCTACGATGGGAAGTATTAATTCACACGGAGTTCAAAATGGGCGCGTTAGACGAGGAGGCGCAATAACTAAAGTGCCTGACAGATGGGACGCGTGGCAAAAAAGCGGGTGCGACAGAAAGGACACTTGGCAGGCGACTTTGTTTCTGGCAGTTAATGAGGAAATATTTGAAATAATGAGCGGGAAACTCATTAGGTGGTCGATATTTGACGGCTTGTCACCAAAGAAGGCGAGGAGCATGAGTTCACTCTTAGATTGAGTCATCCATACTCGACCAGAATGGGGGGGGCCTTGATGATATAGGATATTATACCCACAAGGCTAAACCGGTCTACTGACCGGTCGAGGAAGTCGTACCCTGAGGAAGTCGAGGAAATCGAGCAGTTAACCAGTCNACCAGCAAAGCCGTCGACCAATCTATCCTTCGACCAGATGAATGGTCGAGCAGTTCAGTCGGCCTCGGCCGTCGACCACTTCGCGGGCTTAACACTTCGTAGATCGGCCTAGTCACAGGCGCGTGAAAGAGCCTCTAACCAAATTTCAGGAGAATATTTACCCCATGTGCAGGAGGACACGTGTCGAGAATGTAGTGGTTGATAGCGATAACCACCTCTGACAGCTCCCAACGCCTCGCGCCACCTCTGACATGTGCGCGGCGTGTTAGAGTACGAACGGACAGCTTGGCCAGCCAGCTCACCTTATCCGGGCAGCTATTAGGGCAGGTATCTCACCCCCATATAAAGGGGGTGAGCCTTTCTCCCTTGACACGATTTTTCCATTATTCACTTCGGTATACTCATACACATACTGACTTAAGCATCGGAGGCTCTTCACCGGACATAACCCCGGTGTGAGAGTTAATTGCAGGTTCCCGACGTTCTACCGGCGAGGAAAAGAACCGATCTATCCCAAACCGGACCAGGGCGTTTACACTTGCATTATTCTTCGAGATAGATTTTCTGGAAAAAATACTACCTCATATCATTTTTAAATATTATTTTGGCTTTATCAACCATTAATCAAATAAAATACCGTTTTGGATCATTTGTACATAGTTAGCCAAAAAATACATTACGCATTTTCATTCACTCTTCATCTTTGTAGCTAATAACCATTATTATCCTTATTTAGCTAATAAATATATTTTATGTTTTTTGAAATATTTTCTCTATCTTCATTAGAGAGAATTATTATTAAAAAATATAATATTCTTAATTACTGTGCAATATCTCGACACTTATTACGAATACAGGAGAGTAAAAATAAAAAATAAAAGGCACTCTTTAATCCAAGGCCCTTTTTCTAAAGGCAGAATTGCGCCTAATATCACCACCTTTATCGAAATTGCAAATTAATCACGACTTTTGGACTTTGGCGCACAATATCATGATCTTCAATTTTTGGCAATACGGTACATGAAATTCCTCAGCTCCCCAAAAAAAAATTGACGTGGCTTAAATTTGCCACCGCGGAGGCTTAGCTGGCGGTTCACCTCGGAGCAATACGGCGTTGTTTTAATTCTTCTATCCACGTCAGATCAAAACGACGTTGTTTCGATATCTGAGTATTTTTTTTCACCTCAGATCGAACGACGCCGTTTTGAGTGGTAAATTGCTAATTAAATCCCCAAATAGTCGATGAACCCTTCTTCAATCTGCAGGAGAAAATTTTTGGGGCTGGGTTTTCGTCATCGGAGAAGAAGGAGTAGGCAAAATGTCAACCAAATCCAGCTCATCTAGGAGTACAACTTCAAAATTTACATGTATCCATGGTGAGGCCGAATTGCTGACCTCTAATACCGATCGAAATTTGGGTAGGGGGTTCTACAGGTGCAAAAATCGATTGGTAAGCCTAGTTAACATGTATCCATGGTAATTGCTTTAAGCCTGTAGATTGTTAAAATTAGGAATTAGGGTCTAATGTCTTATTAGGTTTAATTTTTCTGATTTGGAAACCATGAAGTTGATTGATTATGGAATTAAGGAATTAGGGTTTAGGGTTATGGCTTATTAGGTTTTTCTGAATCTTTCTGATTTTTTCTGCATTTTTTTTGCATTTTTCTGAATTAGGGAATTAGGGTTTAATGACTTCAGTATTGCTAGGATATCGAAACGACGTCGTTTTTATCTGACGTGGATAAAAAGAATTAAAACGACGCCGTATTGCTCCGAGGTGGACCGCCAGCTAAGCCTCCACGGTGGCAAATTTAAGCCACGTCGATTTTTTTGGGAGCTGAGGAATTTCATGTACCGTATTGCCAAAAATTGAAGATCGTGATATTGTGCGCCAAAGTCTGAAAGTCGTGATTAATTTACAATTTCGATAAAGGTAGTGATATTAGGCGCAATTTTGCCTTTTCTAAAATTTCTAATTGTCACCCTAAAATTAGGCCTAGGGGTCAACCCCAAACTCCACCAAAATGCGCTGCCCTTACTGCTCGGCTGGGCAAGGCCGCTGCGCGACCACTTCCGCCGGCCGAACCATAACCGAGTGCGCCTCCTGCGGCCGCGTTGTGGAGGAGCGGCAGACGCTGCCCCACCACCTCTTCCACCTTCGCGCACAGGATTCCCCTCTCTGCCTCGTCACATCCGACCTCCCCGCGGCTCCGACCGCGCCCCGGGACGACGAAGCGGAGGACCCCTTCGAGCCCACCGGTTTCATTACCGCCTTCTCCACGTGGTCTCTCGAGCCGCACCCGGTCTTTGCCCACGCGTCGCTCTCCTTCGCGGGGCACCTGGCGGAGCTGGAGCGGGTTCTCGAGACTACGTCATCGCAGGGAAGCGCCTCGGGGCCGTCGGTGGTGGTCGACAATCTGAGGGCTTACCTGCAGATAATCGACGTGGCCTCCATCCTCGGGCTCGATTGTGATATCTCGGACCACGCGTTTCAGCTCTTTAGGGATTGCTCCTCCGCCACGTGTTTGAGGAACCGCAGCGTGGAAGCGTTGGCAACGGCTGCTTTAGTTCAAGCCATTCGAGAAGCTCAAGAACCCAGGACTCTTCAGGTATTAAATTACTTGCAACTGTGTCTTTATTTTTTCTTTCATTTATTATTCTTCTTGCTTACTGATTGTGTGTAATTGTGCTATTTAAGCTATCATGGTAGCTCAATGAATACTTTGCGTTTTGTAAGCAGCAGTTGATTTCTAAGAGTAAAAGTAATTGCATAAAGATTGGTTGTGTGGAATTGTGCTATTTCTTTTCCCTTTCTTTTGGTTGTATGTTTTTTAGAAAGTTGCATATGAATTGGCAATGTGGGAAAGAAACTTAAAAAAAGATGTCGGTAACATGTGAAATTTGAGTCTAGATGTCTGTTATGAACTCAAAAAAATCGACAGTAGCTTGCAAAACTAAAATTAGTTGAAGCGGGTGAAAGAAAGATAAGATGTTACAAGGCTGATCATCAATTGTTGAAACATGTATATGATTCTGAAGATGGCATTTCCTGAGAGAGATGTTCAAACTGGTTATGTTTGAAGAAGTTACTGTACCAATGAGCAATCACTTTTTTAAGTTCAACATTCGTTTGCAATAAATAAAAAACACCCTATGACTGCATCTGAATGGATGAAACCGATTGCTAAACCTCTTTTACACTGTCCACCCATCTGGTAACATATTTGGTTGTTCACCGTTTGCTTTCCTTAACCGACTCCGATCTCATCTGTTCTAACCACTTTGAGGTTCATTTAGGCATTTAACTCTCAGGTCGTGTTGCTCAAGGTCAAGGCATTAGTGGTATCAAACGAGAAAGAAGGCCAGTTGTTATTCTGCACGTTAGTATGACTTTGATGACAATAAATCATTTATTTTTCTTGTCGTGTGAGTTTCTCTCTCATGAGTGGGAAATGTATGGGGTCAGAAGTGGAATTGTTCAAGGTGGTTTCTTTTCTTTTTCTCCTTTGTGTGTGTGTGCTTTTGGAAGAGTAATAGCTATGTCATATGGAACCTTGAGTTTGGAAGGATATTGAAACATCTCGTATTTGCTCATCACCCTTATAAGTTATATCTCATCCTCTTACTAAGCTGGTTTTTATGAGCAAAGGTGTATTGAAACCTCTCATATGTGCTTGTTACGCTTTAAACCATCCTCTTACTAATTTGGGTGTCCTATGAAAAAAGTGCTCCATTTCAATTTATTTATTATAATTATTATTATATTTTTTTTTTAATTTCGCAATGTAGCATCTGATAAGTTGTGTGACCAATAGTGTATCCAGGTTCAACCCTAATACTGCTGGGTGATGGTATTACACGCTAGAGCAATAAAGATACTATTTGCTAACAATTCCCCTGAACTCTTAAACTGGGATGCCTTCTTTCTCGATTACCAGGAAATATCGATTGCTGCCAACCTACCACAAAAGGAGATAGGGAAGTACATCAAGATCCTAGGAGAAGCACTACAACTGAGCCAACCCATCAACAGCAACTCGATCTCCGTCCACATGCCCAGATTCTGCACACTTCTCCAACTCAACAAATCCGCTCAGGTACCCACCCCATCCACAAAATGTCCGTATATGCTAACAAATTTTAAGTGGGTCCACTTTTATTTTTTCCTCAAAATTCTCCCCACAGGAGCTGGCAACCCACATCGGGGATGTGGTGATCAACAAGTGCTTCTGCACACGGCGCAACCCAATAAGCATATCGGCAGCGGCCATCTACCTGGCGTGCCAGCTGGAGGACAAGCGCAAGACCCAGGCGGAGATCTGCAAGGTGACGGGCCTTACTGAGGTCACCCTCCGTAAGGTCTACAAAGAGCTCCTCGAGAACTGGGACGACCTCCGCCCCTCCAACTACAGCCCCATCATCCCTCCCGAGAAGGCTTTCCACACAGCCACCATCTCCTCCTCAGCTGCTACCGGACGATCATCGTCCAAATGCGATCCCCCGGCTGAGGCCAAAACGGCGCCGCCTTTCTGGAAGCCTCCGGGTTTTTCCGAGTGCTCGTCTCAGGATATGGAAATGGATGTGGAGTGCAAGAACAGGGTGGATGTGAATGCAAATGCCGGAGGTGGGTCGGGTCCTGGGAGGCAGGTTCAGTTTCCTGCTCCGACGGCTCATGGGGCAGGTATGGTGCCGTGGCCATTTAGGCCGCCGCCAAGAGGGGTGGATAGAGGGCATTTGGGACAGGATTTGAATGAGAAGATGGGTTAGTGTGAGTGTTTTATGTGGGATGTGGGTGGCTGAGCTGGCGGTTGTCCGCCGTGGTTTGGTAAATTAGAGTAGTTCAGTAACTGGTGTCTGTGATTTCGTTAATGTTGATTTGGGAAATGTGTTTTAAATTTTAATAGAACAAAATCTTGGTTAGAATATGAAAATGTTGTGTAAATTGGAAATGCTGTGAGTATATATATTGTATTAGACAATCTCTGATTGAAAAAAATCATTTTCAAATCAATTTTGTGTGACATCAAACAGTAATTTTTTTTCTAACCGAAAAATTCATTGTTAAACTTACATCGACTTTTATAATTTTTCAATATTACGGATGTGTTTAATAACTTCACATATTTGATGTATTATTACTTTATAATTGATTTATAATAATAATATTATTAATAATAATAAATAATTTTGCACATACAAATATAGATATACATATTTGCAAAATACTGATATACATATCCTCCCTATATATAATTCCCGAATGCGCTGAGCCTACGTGGCTGCTTCTGGTGCTTCGGAATCCTATTTGGCGAAAAATCATGCTTCGTAATTAGGTTTGGACAAATAATATTGATATATTAATAATTAATAATCTAGGTTCGGGTATTCCATAAATATTATTTAGCTAACTTAGGTATTTTAATATCACTTTTACTAATATAACCCTTTAATTATTTGTAATTTTATATAGTGATGCACTAAGTGACTAATATATCCCTAAATTTTGATTTGCTTCCTTCAATAAGCTATTGAATTATAAATGTATTTTAAAAGTTGATAACTTTTGTATTTCTTATCGGTTTTACATATATAATATATCAAATTTATCATCTTTTGATGATCTTCGATTTGACATTCATATTGTATATATAAAATAAATAAATTATATTTATCTTTATAATAATAAAAAATAATAATATTTATTAAAATTTATTAGAAAAATAAAATTATTTCTCAATTGATATATTTATATTTAATGTAGTTATATATTGTAAGTTAAAAAATTAATATAATATAACACAAGTAAGTCACACAAATAAAAAAGTGTCATAATAAATATATAATAATATATATATATTCTTATAAAAGGTATTTAAATTTTCAAACTACTTTTTCTCCTTAATTTTAAAGCACCCGTGTAATACACGGGTGTTGTACTAGTTTGTTCAATAAGTCAATATCATATCCTCCCTATATATAAATCCCGAATACGCTGAGTCTACGTGGCTGCTTCTGGTGCTTTGGAATCCTATTTGGCGAAGAATCATGCTTCGTAATTAGGTTTGGATAAATAATATTGATATATTAATAATTAATAATCTAGGTTCGGGTATTTCATAAATATTATTTAGCTAACTTAGATATTTTAATATCACTTTTACTAATATAACCCTTTAATTCTTTGTAATTTTACATAGTGAGGCACTAGGTGACTAATATATCCCTGAATTTTGATTTGTTTTCTTCAATAAGCTATTGAATTATAAATGTATTTTAAAAGCTGATAACTTTTGTATTTCTCATCGGTTTTACATATATAATATATCAAATAATCATCTTTTGATGATCTTCAATTTGACATCCATATTGTATATATGAAATAAATAAATTATATTTATCTTTATAATAATAAAAAAATAATAATATTTATTAAAATTCATTAGAAAAATAAAATTATTTCTCAATTGATATATTTATATGTAATGTAGTTATATATATTGTAAGTTAAAAAAATAGTATAATATAACACAAGTAAGTTGCACAAATAAAAAGTGTCATAATAAATATATAATAATATATATATTCTTATTAAAGGTATTTAAATTTTCAAACTACTTTTTCTCATTAATTTTAGATTTTAAGAAAAAAAATTAGCAAGTACCCGTGTAATACACAATTATTGTACTAGTTTCTATTATTCAACTTCAAAAATATTCTAGGAATATTTTGAATTTATTACAAGGAAATAAATAGCTCGCTAAAGTTGCCGCTATTTGAGAAATAACTTTTTTTGGCAGCGTGCCGCTATTTGTATTCATGTGCAATTTAGCCGCTAAATCCCGCTAAATCTCCGCTATAGCTACAGTGCAATAAACGTTTTAGCCCGCTATTTAAAACCTTGATTTATTATCATTCTTTGATTATAGTGTTGAGAAATTACTTCAAGTGTCATATAAATTTTAATTAATATAATACATATATTATAACAATTGGTGGATTGAATTTATTATTCAAAATGTTTGTATGATATTTCAATAAATATTTTAATAATATTTGGTTGCACTGAATTTATCATTTAATATACAATTCTAATTTATTTTTCATATTTCAGTCTTTAATGTTCTTTAGTGTTAGTAAAAAAATTAGAGTTATATATATATATATATATATATATATATATATATAAGTTTGATTATTTTTAAAATAGTAACTATTTCCTACAAAAAAAAATTATATCGGGGAATTAATAATGTAATTTATGGTATGAAATCTGTGAAATTTATTTTGGTATGCAAATAAAGTCAATCAATACTAATTTGATTTGAAATCTCCCAAAAAAAAAAAAAAAATGCCAAAATCGGTGCTAAAATTCTATTTTGCGCAATTTAGACAAAATAAAAAGTGAGGAGGAATATTTATTTTGCGCATTTGGTTCATATATAACAGTTGTTGGTATTATGCTCCTTATCTCTTCATTTTCACTTTTACATATTGAAAATTTTTACATGATTATCTAAGTGAATTATTATTATTATACTAATATAACTCTCCACCATTACAATAAACTATAACAATGGCGTTTTTTTTTTTTTTTATTATTCTACCCAAGTATAAATGTTGGAGACAAAAAATAAATTATTTCATAATTCAATCACTGGTGATGTAAATATTACACAAATTATTGTGAGATATAAACATTCATATTTATGTTATAAAATGTTATATTTAAGTTGTTTTTTAAAATACCACATTTTAATTTAAAAATACATATATTTATTTAACAAAAATATATTTATGCCATGAAATATTTTATTTATTTTATTTTTTAAGATATAATATTTTAATTTAAATGTACATATATTTATTTAGCAAATTCATAATTATGCTATGAATTTTTCATACTATATTTAAGTTGTTTTTAAAGTATAATTTTTGTATGGTTTTTTGGTAGGAAATTTGTTGAAAAATTAATCAATATATGGTGTAATTTTATTTTATTTTATTTTTTTGGTGAGGCCAATATTGGTTGGTTTTTAGACGTGTAACTCCCATAAAGAATATAAATAGATATTTTAATATAATGTGCGTATATTGATTTTTTTTTTATTTTTTTTATAGAAAAAGCTCTAGTCATTTTTTTTTTTCTTTTGAATAATTTGTAGGTCTCGGTTTAATTTTTTGTTACAACATTTCAAATAATTTTTGTATGAAATGCACTGTTCATTTTTTAGCATGATAAAGAATGTCAATTTTTTTTTTTTTTTTTGCATAAAAACCTTATTCAACTGCTTAAATATTTTGATTTGGATATTTTATACCAAAATAAATTCATAATAAGTAAAGAAACAATATAAGTTTTATCTTTAAACATAGTATTCAAATAAGTTTTTAAATATATGATAAAATTTTACTAAAATAATTATTTTATGGAATCGCATTATAGTCAAATTAAATTTATGAATAAAAATTATGAGATAACACAAATTTTGAAACGAATATAATGTAATTTATTATCAGTTATGTGCAACCGCGAGTGTGTACTAATTTTAAATAGACGACATTTTTGTGTTATTTTGCACAATTTGAATTTTATATAATATTTCAATAAATTAATATCGGTACGTTGTATTAATATTGGTTCCATGTTTTTAATTTATAATATTATTTAATAAAAATTTTAATATACAAATATTAATAAATATTTTTACCCGTGC